CCTAATCTAAGTTGATGCATATTACAATGATTATCTAGAATATGCCAACTGAAGCTGCATCACTTGTTACTTCAAATCTATGTCTTTGCCTCCTATATTTATACAGTTCAGCTTAATATAGCAACACTGAGCATTAATGACCAGCTGAGATTAGATGACCCCCATCTGTGCATCAGGCCATCAACTGTTCCCAGATAGTCACTCATTCCCAGAAAATGTCTTGTGTCTCAATCACTGTTGCCTAATTATTGTTTTTTTTCAGCTCATGGAAACTTCCCTCTGTACCCAAAATTATACTTATATTTGCAAGCAGGTTCAAGTGTTACTGCTCAATTCAAACCCCATGAAGATACAATACTTTAATAAAGTTTGATCTGGTATTGATGTGAGTTAAAAGGTCAGAATATTGCACGAATTTCTTATGGTCTGAAAGAACATAGGCCTCTGAGCTTTTCTATTTCCTAGTGCAGAATATGTATTTGTAAAATACAACAGAGAGGGAAGTTTGGAGATGTACAAAACTGATATCTCTAAGCAGTTAGTTGAGATGAAAACAACCAACATAACAAGAGTAACCCCTTTGCACCCCTTACAAGACATAGGAAAAGTAGCGCAATGGAACAAAGGTGACCCGGGCAGCAGCCCCAGGCGCTGCCTCTATGGGGGGGTATGCAAAAACAGCTGCGAGTATAGTGGAGGCTGATTGTACCACTGCAATCAGCACTGTGGCACTATTGCAGAGTTACCCAGGGCACAGACCTGCCCAGCTATACCTCTGCACTGGAAGTAACACAAATTCTCATGATTCAGGATACAGAGCAATCTCTAACCAAAGGGAGATAGACTGAAGCTTTCCCTTTAGACCAGTGGTGTTCAACTTGTTTATTTATTTATTTATTTTACAAGCAGGCCAAACCTTAAAATCAGAAATGGCTCAAGGGCCACAAAGAAAAGCATTGCTGAAACTCAGCCTATACAGTGAGCTCAATGGTGGTCAGGCTGGGCTGTGGCTGAAGCCACCACCTTTGCACAACAACTCCAGAGGTCAGGGAGTGAATGCAGCCACCACTTGTCCCCTCTTTTCCATTGCTCCTGAATTAAAAGAGCCCAGAGAGGTAACTGTGTATAAGGAGATCTAGCAGGAGCCATACTGACATGCCAGTAAGGTCAGACTGGCATGTGGTGTTGGGTGGTGACCTATTCACATCAGCTTCAAGATCACATTCAGTCCATAGGCCATAGGTTGAGCACCATTGTTTTAGACAATTTATGTGATACCAGGGATCCTGGTTTTCTCCAATTTAAAAACAAATCCCCAATTTCCAGATTTAAAAAAGTAACCCCAAACACACATTTTTCTGTGATTAAAATTGAAACACCACTACATATATAGCTATATATTAGTGGCATTTCATAGATTCATAGATTAAGGGTCGGAAGGGACCTAGTAGATCTTCTAGCCCGACCCCCCGCCAGGGCGGGAGAACAACAAAAAACCCCAAAAAGAGAAATGGGACTCAAACGAGTCCAGCCAGGTAGGCATCCAGCCTCTTCTTAAAGACCCCCAGGGTAGGGGCCAGCACCACTTCCCTTGGAAGTTGGTTCCAGCTCCTAGCCGCCCTAACCGTGAAGTAGTTTTTGCGGATGTCCAATCTATACCTCCTCTCCATCAGCTTGTGCCCATTACTCCTTGTTATGCCAGCGGGCGCTAGGGGAAACAGAGTCTCCCCCAAACCCCTCTGGTCCCCCCTAGTGAGTCTATAGACAGTCACCAGGTCCCCCCTTAGCCTTCTCTTGTGGAGGCTGAATAGGTTCAGGTCCCGCAGTCTCTCACTGTAGAGTCTGCCCTGTTGTCCCTGGATCATGCAGGTGGCCCTCCTCTGGACCCTCTCCATATTGTCCACATCCCTCTTGAAATGGGGCGCACAGAACTGGACACAATACTCCAGCTGTGGCCTGACCAGTGTCGCATAGAGGGGGAGGATCACCTCCTTGGCTCTACTCGAGATGCACCTGTGGATGCACGACAAGGTCCGGTTAGCCCTGCCAACCATGACCTCGCATTGTCGGCCCATGTTCATCTTGGAGTCAATAATTTCATTTTAATCATAGAAGAATGTGGATTTGTGCCATGGGAATTGTCATAAGTATGCTTGGAAAATGAAAGCTAACTCGTGCTTGTTTATGTAAATGAAAAATAGGTCCACATTCCCTTCAATGAGAGAGGGGTAAGATTCTGTGGGTTAGCTTTGACTGGCTGGGGGTAAGGGCATACACAAAGGCAGTTACTGTGGAGTAGCTGATGCGCAGTTAAGTTCTTGTCTTTGTATACCCAACTGTATTCATATAACCATGCCCTGTGGCAATTCCTACATTCCTCTAATGCTAGCAAAAGTATGTGTTTCCACAGAAACTAGTCAGTTATGTTTTGGTCTAAAATGTATCACATTTCAGATAAAGGGTATATTTGAGTGATACTAGGGACTTTAAAGAGTCTTCACATCTTCTGGTTTCTCAGCAGTAAATAATTGCTGAAACATCAAAAAGGCTGTGTTGAGATATTGTGGACAACTTAAATAATTTCTATAGATGGGATCTCTGGTATATGAGATTTCAACTAGTAGGAAGGATTCCTACTAATTGAAGTGTAGTTATTACATTAAAACTAATTATTCCTGGCATATTTACACACATACCAACAATAGCTCTATCCAGTGGGATTGATTTCTGAGAACTGAAACCAGTATATAAAAGATTTAATATGAACTTATTCAATTCTTTAGCTTTCAGAGCACTGGCTGAGTATCAGGAAAAAAATGGAACCTGAAAACCTTTCCAAAGCTGAGGCAACAAGAAGCTTTTTGTCCTTTATCCAGAATATCAGGAAAGCTACAAAAGAGGAGATACTTCAGATTCTTAGAAGTGAAAGTGATGCCATACTGTAAGTTGCCATGAACAACTGTTTATGCACTAAAGGGTTTAAAGAGAACTAAAATGAAGGGGGGAATCATATGCATAAACAAATAGTCACAATGGTTACATGCTAGGTCTGTAATAGTAAATCTTTACTTCTAGCTGAAGGATTGGAGAAGTTTTTGGAAGGTACTGTTTGCTTTATGTAGTTGCAGTGCTTTCTTCACCCGTTAGATGTCTCTGTGGGCTGAAGAGGTTTCCAGACAGGCTGATGTGCCTGGTAAAGAGCAGGAACAAAACTGGAACCAAAGCTTTATGGAAATTATTTATCTCAGGGGTTTCAATAGTGTTTTTTTAGAAAGAACAAATGCAGAACTGGGTGCCTGAGCTCCCTGGGTGGCAGTTGAGCATGGGGTGGCATCAGTGGCTGTGCTGCCAGTGGTCCAGGGGTAGCCAGACTGGTTGCAGATCTGCTACTATTTTTGTACCTTTCTGCTCCTTTGTTACACTGTTGAAAAAGAATGCCCCTTTCCTTTTTCATATCTATTCCTCTAGACATGAAAACACTCAGGACACTTCTATACTTTTTATTATGCTCTTTCTCTGTATGGACAAAAATCAAAATATCATCTATTTCTAGTCCTTCAACTATTTTATCTTGGAAGATTTCATGGACACTGAAAGCAGTAGCATATAAATTAATTCTATCTGCCATTTACCTGCAGTAATCAGACCTGTCATTAGACCAACTTGTTTATGTCTGTAAATAACACTTTGTCTAGCTCACAGCAGTAACTTATTAATTCCCACTCCATTGCAGTCCTCAGCTGGTAGATGCTATAACCTCTGCTCAAACCCCAGCCTCACTGGAGGCCATGCTGGAGTTTCTGGACTTTAAAAATGAAAGCAGCTCTCTCCTGCAGGAGCGGTTCCTGTATGCATGTGGATTTGCTTCCCATCCCAATGAGATGTTACTTAAAGCTTTAATTGTAAGTCAAAATACAAAAAGTTCCACTCTTATGACTCTTAAGAGCTCCAACCATGCTGGGAGGGAAGAGACACTGTCTACCTTCCTCCAAGTGCCTTTGAGGCATATGACTGGAGTACAACCAGAACATCCTGCTGCATAAAGCATATGATTTCAACTGTAGAATTTATATTCACTTGTAAACCATCACCAATGTTTGCACTTATAATAAGTATGTCTCCTGTTTTCCTAAATACTATCAGGAAAAAAATAGAAAGTGTTAATGTCAGCAAAGCAATTTAAAGATAAATCACTTTAGGTGCTAAGTATTTCACTATCATTTTATACCAGCTTTACAATAAACTGCAAGGATAGGTATTTTGACTGTAGCTTCAAGAAGGAAGTTACTTTTGGTTAATTACACATGATGGTAGAACAGTTCTCAGCTAAGTCTGAGCCCAACCCGTAAGGTGAAGACTGCCCTCATTGAAGGTAACAAGAAACAGAGGGTACTCAGCATATTGCAGGGTTTGGCTCATTATATTTAGACATGGAGGTTAACAGTATTCCTTTTAACTAACAGAATAAGTTCCAGGGCAAGATTGGAAAAAGTGAAATCAGAGAAACTGTTGTCATCATCATGGGTGCTCTCATCAGAAAACTGTGCGACAGGGGAGGCTGCAAACTCCCAGTAAGTATTTATTTGCCTAGTGGCCAAATTTTACCATCAGCCATACAAGCACCATCCACTGAAATTATTAGGAGAGTTTTGTAAGCATCTATGGGGCTCCATTTGCCCTCAGTTTTTAAGCTTAGCTCACAGGCACCTACATTTAACACAAAGGAGGGGCTTTCTTAATAGCAGGTTGGGTTTTTTTGGTTTCTTTTTTTTCAGATGAACCCAGGACCTGATTCTGATCTTACTTTCAGTTTACCCCCACATAGCTCTACCAGCTTCATCTTACTGGTAGTATAACTAAACTTAAACCTCTCTCTAACTCTAAAAGGCATTTAAACACGTGCTCTGGGAGTTGTGTGGGGGAAATGCGCTTTAATTAGAGAGCCTCTGAAAGCCACTCTAATTAAAGTGCCCGGAGCATCTCATGTATCAGTGACCCCATGCTTCAAAATGGTGGCAGGGCACTTTATCTTTATTGAATGAGATTTAGATTAAGCACTCCTGTTGCCATCTTGAAGTGTGGGGACACTGATACATGAGATGCTGGAGGAGGCTGCTGAAACATGGTATGCTGGAGGCTGCTGGAGCATGGTAATTACCACATTCCAGCAGATTCAATAAATAGTATCTTCTCCAACATGCTGTAATTACAGCACATTGGGGCAGCCTTGCTCTAGGCACTCCAATGCCTCTGTGTGCTGACAGTAGAAACAGTACTTTTGTCTGATTTTGGAAATATTCAGATAGCTCCTGAAAACTTTGTGTAATTGGGATCTCCCTAAACAACTTAGACTACCTCAGTCCTATGGAAAGGGGGCATTCAAATGCTGGACTATGTCCAAGGCATGTTCCAGACAGCTTAGGAGGGTAGGTATCTAGTTGATCCTTGCTAAGCTGGGTCCTGGGTAAAAGTAGCTCAGTATTAGGGAAGCCAATTCTTCAGCCAGCCAGGTCTGCAGGATTCAGGGAATCCAAGGACCTGCCCTTCATTCTTCTGTTATGTGCTGTGCATTCCTATAGCAATATTATTTAAGCACCAAGGAACATTTCTTTAGCCATATTTTTGTTAAAACATCTTTGAGTATTTAAACAGTCTCTGTTGGCCTTACCAGCTGAGCTACAAGTCCCTTGAACCAGCAAGTGCAAAGTTAGTGAGTGGCATGTTTATGAACAGGCCCCAGTGCATGACCTATTGAAGAATGTCTTGCATTGGAAAGCTTGTCTAACTTTATCTCAATTACATAGTTGGTCCAATAACAGCTATCACCCTATGACATCTTTGCCTCTCTATTGATTTAAGGAAATTTTACAAGTTACACGCTGATCACATCCAAACAGTTGTTTCAAACTGAACCAAGGGAGGAGAACCCAGCTAAAGCTCATGCTCACATGGGACCTGAGGGTGCTTAACCTTTTGAATGTTCACATATTAAACATGGCATCAATCTTCTCTAGGCTGTTGTAGAAGCTAAGAAGCTGATCCTAGAAGGATTAGGCAAGGCAGAAAAGGACGATGAAGTGAAAATGTACCTGCTGGCACTCAAGAATGCCCTTCTGCCAGAAGCTATTCCATTGCTACTAAAACATGCTGAGTCAGGAGAAGGACCCATAAGTAATGCTGCTGCCACAGCTCTGCAAAGATATGACATCTCTTTCATCACCAGTAAGGTAAGAAGATTTACTGCAAGAAAAAAAAGAGGACATGAGAAATTATAGAAATTTCACATGTTCACAAAGCCTACCTCTTAAGACCCACCCCATTCAAGGATGCACATTTTTCCTCCAGTACATAATAATTTATACCATTCAGAGGTTGACAGAAAACTGCTCAAAGCAGTGAAATAGCAGAGATGGACAAATTAACTACAGAGTAAGATCCTGGAATGACTGTACTGTATTGTGTGTTTTTGCTTCTGCCTTGCACTATCTGCCGATGAACTTGACCAGCCATATTGCAGCTTCACAATCCAAACATCTCACTCAGCTGGGACACCATGACCATTGTGTGGTTCCTAGGACTCTATTTGTTCCAAAGCAGACCTGCAGCCCTTCAAAATAAAGCATGGTGATAATAGGCAATACTCAGGGAGAAGTGTAAGCAAACTTTTTTAAAACATACTTCTCAGACTTAACATTTAAGGAAATCTCTTTGGTCATTGCCCATATTATACTATTTTTATCTTGCTGTCAGTGCTACTGTAGTAAGGCTGTGCTTAAGATCCTGCGGAAAACAGAATGGCTGCTCCATAATTCACCCACACAATCATGGAACTGCATGAGTTTAACATGTTCCATTATAAATTGTTTTAGGACGCACTGAATATGAAAAACACTAGATGAAGACTATAATCTATTCAGCGGTATAACTAGAAGTTTTGGTCCCCTGGGCAGAGAAACCTCTAGAACAGGGCGAAGGTGTTGGGGTGGTGGAAGAAAGAGTGCTGCCCCACTCCTAGTTATACTGCTGAATCTATTCTATTTGCTATAACCCCAGGGCAGGAAGGCACTGCTGATGCTTTATTTTGTATTTCCAAGATGTAGCTTTCTTGAGCATATGTAAGATTCATTGAGTAAACAGTTTATTTCCTGTTTAGGTGAGGAAAGTAATGAACAGGATATACCACCAGAATCATAAAATTT